GCAAAGCATCTGTAGCTAATGAAGCCACCCAGAAGTTCAGTATCAGTTCACTTTCCTCCAGTTAGAATAATTTCACAGTGCTTGAACACCAATTGCATAGGCGTTGTGTGCGTGTGCATGTGTGTGTAATTGTTCAGAATCCCTACAAAGCATACTGGTTAACACTAGCAGCTGATAAACGACTCATATCTAATGGACTGTGCCAAACAGATGTGGCCTGTAAGAGGAGAAAATAGTACTTCAGCCACAGAAGATGAGAGACGTAATATGCTACTTTCCTCTTGAGCCTTCAGAGATTATTTGAACCTTTGAAACAGGATGCTTCCAGCATGCCAAAAATCAGGCATACTGCAACTAAAGGCTATCAAAGGCCAAGATGCTTCACTGGGGAACTCAGGAATAGAGAGGATGGGAAGCTACTTTCATACCCAGTCATGCTCAGAACGACCACTGAAATCCAGGAACTACTTGGGTTGAATTCATTAGATAGTAGGTGCATCTACACTTCAGAAATATTGGAGTTTGACATCACTTTAACTGCCATGGCTTCATCCTACAGAATCCTGGGATTTGTAGTTTTGTGAGGCACCACCACTGTTTGGCAGAGAAGGCTAACTGTAAAATTACGTATCCTAGGGTTCCATAGGATGGAGCTATAGTTGTGTCGAGCTGCATGATTTCTACAGTGTAGATGCACCCAGTGTCTTCCAGTTCAACGCCAGCTGGGTCAAAACCAAATCAAGCCAGGGATGTATCAGTGGTATTAGCATTAAGATGCAGGAAAGGTGGCCTTTTCTGTTTGCTACTTTGTAAAACTGTTGGCTTGCTCACACAACTAAGTGACTAGACTATAAGGGTGGCTGTTGCTGTGGTGTTGTTTTTTTAAAAAGAGTACTCCTCCTCCAGAATATTATCTCTGAACCCTTCCAGTTGTACAGTGGGGCTAAAGAGGTATGCTCACTCTGCTGCTACTCCTTTTTTGTGGAACTGGCACTAAATCTACTGGCTTGTGCCAAGAAATGTAACTGCATACAATACAAGAAAGTTAAAACAAGAGGAGCAGACAATTCTGGCAACTCAACCAAAGAAAACCTAATCTAAATATAGGCAATTTGCTCAAGCTGGTAATAGAGGTCAGAGCACTTTCTGCAAACAGTGTCAGCCAGAGCAAATTAGAGCTACTGGAGCATGATTTCAATACTAAAGAATGTAATTGCACTAATTGGCCCCTTTTGATGAGCTAAGGATAAAACTAAATGTCTAGGTTTGTGGGTATCATGTGTCTTCGCCAGATGTTTAGGGTCTAAGTTTATTTCAACCCAACTAAAAACAGATCTTGCAAACTTCCTTACCCATTGGCTCTCCTGCAAGGATTGCTTGAAGTTGTGGTGCAACGATATCTGGCTGCACAATTCCTACCCTGCCTTAGATTGTTAACATTACAGGACAAATAAATAGAATGGTTCTGGTCTATTATTTCAAGGAATGTAACTTCAGATGTTGATTCTATACTAAAATCTTTTTGTAAGCCCT